ATGATATGTGACAAGATACTCGACTCCAGCTTCTGTATCGAGGAGTACCGCGAGATGGTTGGGCTTGCGGCCGTCTCACACCGGTGGCACGAGCTGCTGCAGCCATACTTTTACCGTACAGTTATCGCTCAGCGCATTGAAGTCAAGAACAAATCCAAGCCTTGGGCCAAGTCCCTCCTCAAAAGGAAAAAACGAATGGCCGGTCCACGGTTCAGATGGCAGTCGAATGTGGAGAATGTTGTTGCAGCCGGAAAGTCGCACCGGACACGGGAGATACGGATTGTCCAGAGAGCCTCTGGCACCATGGTCACACTTGAGGATGTGCTGCGTGGTCTTGGCTTTGATGCTGGAGACTGGTCGGGCGTCACTGCCATCCGTTTCATCGGTGCATTCACACAGTATGAGCCTTTTTCTGACAAAGATACCCAGTCAGCGTGTGCGTATTTCCTCAAAACGTTCCCAAACGTAACTGAGCTTGATTGCACGCAGGCACATTGTGCCAAGGATCCTGCAGATTCTTTCCTTGCTAGCCTCACTAGATGGTACATTCCTCAGCTGCACACCATTTACATTGACAGCTTTCTTCCCAGCTCCCCCCTTGACCACTACCCAGAACATGTCACCCGGGTGCTGATCAAGCGCTCGCTCTATCCTTATAACATGAACGTGCATCAGTTCTTGGCATCCGCGCTGAAGTATCTGTATATTGACCACATCCAGGACCACTTCAACTGGGAGCGCTTCCTGGGAGCAGACGAGGAGAGCACAGAGTTCACGAATCTGGAAGAGCTGGTCCTCAAATTCTCTTACTGGGACCAACCACCGATAATATCGAGTCCCCTCATCAGAAAGATGAGGTTTCCTAGCCTCAAGCGGCTTACAATTTCGCGCTCGTTCTATGCCATCTCAGAGCTGTACCCCCATTTTATTGCATCGCCGCTGCAGTCGCTCTGCATCCGCGAAGAGATGGACAAGCTCCGGCCCTTTGACACCGCAATTATTCGTTCGGTGACTGAGCTCGATATAACAGTTGTGAAGAACACTGCGCAGGTGCCAGACGGATGGGGAACTGTGTTCGCCGATCTACTTGGCACGGTGTCGACTGTTAAGAAAGCCAGGCTGACTGGGACACCGTTTATTTTCCCTGAACATATTCACTGGCTATATCTCGAGCAGCTCACGATCATCCCAGAGACCATCGCATGGTCTAATGTCGTCAAAGTCATCAGTGAGCTTCCCCTGCTTCTCTATCTAGAGGTCAGATGCATAGATATGGAAGATGATGTCCCTGATCTGTTCAGTCTCACCCAGAGCCGATTGGTTCGACTAGATACCCGAGTACAGATGGTTTCGCTTGGGATGAATGGGGTATGGTGTACAGCTGATAGACACAATCTGAAGGTGCTGGCTATGTGTGTCCCATCGCTGATAAAGCTCTGTGTTTCTGCCAACTATGTAAATGAATTCGAGACGTTTGCAAGCCAGTTCGGACAGTCATTCTCAGTAGCACCAATCACGTAATGCCAGTAATATATCGCTTCAGCGCGAACCAGGCGTTCTTGAAGGAGGTGAAGGTATGCTCAAATATGGCCCAAGAGGCAACCAAGCAATGGCATCTGGGTGAGCAGTCGTGCATTCCCGGCATGGAATCTATACTGACATCAGTAGCAGCTGTGGGATGCAGGATGGACCACAGACATCTGGCAGAAAGTAATGCGAGTTTGTGTGCAACCGTGCTAGCCTATAGCTTAAGCGGCATTAGCATAATCCTGGTTGGAAGAGTCAGTTTGGAGGGTGATTTGCTTTGCGCTCATTCGCCAAAAGTGTGGTCTCGTCCGGGCTTTGGTTAGACCAAAATACCGAGCACGGCTCTGGGCGAGTGCGGGTGCCAGAGATCTGCACGAGACCACATTCTGAGCTTCCTTCTTCGGCAGCTCGTGTTCCGATCAACCTGCGCCTGTGGAGGAGCTGTGCACCCCTCCCCCAAAGCCCTTCAGCATTTGTGTCGACTCCAGCCGAAGGGAGCTTGTCTGAACACGCCCAGCGGCTAGGCAGACATGATTCGACTGCATTACACCAAGAGCTGGGCAATACCGGCTGCGCTCGCGCCACTCCCCTGTGCAGACTGTCTATGAAAGTGCAGCGTGCGTTGTGCTCGGCCAGCCTGTCCACTCCAAATCTATGGGCTGGCTAACAGCACTGACAAAAGGACTTTCGGTTCTAGCAGATACGGATAGTTCCTGCCCTCTCTCTCCGTCCGCCCGTTCCCCCACCTCCTCAATTCGGTATTTTGATAACCAATCGGGAAAGAGCAGCCGAGCGATGCATGCGCAAACACAGCTCAACAGAGCAGTACTGCCGGACACGGCGGGGATTGGCATATGTGCCATCAGGCGGGCGACAACATAGGCAGAAGGACGGGGTCGAGTGAGCTCGGGGACAGCCCTTTGCTAGTCAATTGGGGGGAAAGCTTGCTGTCACATTAGGCAGATGGCTCTTTTTTTATCGACACATTCCAATTAGATGCCTTCCTGTGCGACCAGGGGGCTCGCACTGGCCGTCGATAAGCTAAGCTAGGCGCCCAAGTGGGACGCTGGCTCCAGCTATGGCAGGTTGAACAGCTATTTGTCTTGCAAAGGCTGGTTTGTGCGGGGGAGCAGGCGTTGGGAGAACGAGGGACCAGGGATATATAAGAAGGCACGGGCTCTGCCAAAGCGCCTCTCCCACTCCAATGTCCAAACCTGAACAGTAATAACCGCATCTCTTATAATATTATTCCTTCATAATCTGTGCTAGTGCCCTTCGTCTTCAAGCCGGAACAACACTCTGTATTCTTTAATCGTCAAGCTATTCTAAACCCCTCTCTGAAGGAGACACAATCATACCAATGTCTGTCGACTCACGCTCACTGGGCGTAACCAAGTACCAGGTGTTCTGCTCAATGATGGCTGCCCTGGGCAGTGTCAACTTTGGCTGGAACATTGGTGTCATCAACATTCCCGGCGACGTTATCTCCAACTGCGTGACCGGCGAGAAGCACTACTACGGCCCCTTCCCCTCGTGTATCCCGACCGAGTCTACCATCTGGGGCGTGGCTGTCGGCTGCTTTGCACTGGGAGCGCTTGTTGGAACCGTCGCCGGTAACCCCATCTCCGACAAGTTTGGTCGCAAGTTTGTGCTCACCTGGGGCCCTCTGTTTGCGCTGGTTGGCGGCCTTCTCCTGGCAACCACAACAACGCTGGCGCAGCTCATTATTGGCCGTCTGTTCGTCGGTTTCGCTGCTGGTTTCTGCAACGGTGCCCTGTCGGTCTATGTCGGCGAGATCACCACCCCCAAGGCCCGTGATGTGCTCGGCGGAACTCTCCAGCTGGCCACCAACGTCGGTATTCTGCTAGCCAATGTGCTGTCGCTGGGTCTGTCAAAGCCGCCGCTCTGGCGCGTTCTCTTCAGCTTCACAGGAATCTTCGGTATCGCCACCACCCTGCTGTTCCCGATCTGTGTCGAGTCGCCCAAGTGGCTCGTCTCCCGCGGCCGCGTCGAGGAGGCCCGTGCTGCCCTGCTGAAGCTGCGCAAGGATGCTGACATCGAGCAGGAGCTTCAGGACATGGTCGATGACGATGCCAAGGAGAAGGCGCGCGCCACCGAGGTCCCCAAGGTCAATGTCATGGATCTCATCCTCGGCCGCACCCCCGATAACCTCCGCCATCAGTTTGTCGTTGTCTGCATGCTCATGTTCTTCCAGCAGCTGTCTGGTATCAACGCTGTTATTTTCTACTCGACCCAGATCTTCAACCGCACCACCAAGGACGATCCGGCAAACATCCCAACGCTTGCTCAGATCCTGTCGTGCGTCATTTCGATCGTTGCTGCCATCTTCACCTTTGTTGGCATGCTTCTTGGCGCTCGCTTCGGCCGCCGTACCCTGATGCTCCTGTCGCACGGCACCATGGCTCTCTTCTCGATGCTGATGGCTGTCGGCTCCATCAAGGGCATTGACGGCCTTGTCATCACCATGGTCTTCCTGTACAACGTGTTCTTCAACTTTGGTGTCGGCCCGCTGCCGTGGGCGGCGGCATCTGAGATGACCCCGGCCTACGCCATGTCTGCCATGGCTGCTGTTGGCGGTGCCGTCAACTACGCCTTTACCTTCGCCATCGGAGTGTTTTTCCCGCCAATGCAGGAAGGTCTGGGTGACTACACCTTCTTCTTCTTCATGGGCTTCAACATTGCCGCCTTCATCTTCTGCTTCTTCTTCCTGCCCGAGACCAAGGGGCTCAAGGTTGAGGATGTCGTTGCTGTCCACTCGGTTGGCCTGCATGTTGTTCTGGGAAGCAAGTGGCAGGTCAAGGCGCCTGGCGCTGAGGATGGCGACGATTACGAGAAGAAGGCCTAGACTCTTATCTCAATAGCTTTATTGCCAAATCCAACACGTATCTTGCGCTGATTATCCAGGGATCGGAAAACTGGTTTGGTTGTTGGTCGATCAATAGCGTGCCCGCGTGACACCTTCGGAGAACAAGAGCACAAAACCTGTCTGAGCATCTTTGCCATTGTGTCTTTGTAATTCAAATCCAACTTCATGGTGGTATCTGGAAACAAACCTCCCGGCATGTTGCTACTGCTCAATAGAAATGGCTCCAAAATAGCGGTTCGCAGTGGCCAATTCCAAACTGCTGTTGACAAAGCAAAGGATAAAGGTATTTAAAAAATAGAACAAAACAAGTCACAAGAAGAAACAAATGTTATGTGGGAAAGGCCGGCGCGGCACTTGCAGTGCGTCTGGCAAGAGTCGGGTTGCTTCTAGTGGTCTTGCGCTGCGACTGCAGCTTGGACTGGGGCGCCTGCTGGGGCTTGGCGCTGTGCTTGCGTGTCAGTGGTCTCGCCTGCTGCGCATGGGCTGCCGATCGTGTCGTCATCGGATGCACAGACACGGCAGTGGAGGACCGTACCAGAGCACTTGCATGGTGGTGGCCTGTATACAGGCGGCACTGGTCCAGGGCCACGATCTGGCCGGCCGTGGGCCGCATGTCGGGGTCAGGGGCCAGCATCCACTTGATAGTGTCCAGGAGATCCGACGAATACGGCAGGTCGATAAAGTTTGCGTCGTCAAAGCACCCTTCACGCAGCTTTTGCCACTCGACGCCGTTGTCGGGCAGCACAATGTTGGCCACAATCTCCAGCATCATCATGCCCAGGCTGAACACATCAGCAGGCTTGGAGTACCGTCCCTGCAAGACCTCGGGCGCCATATACTCGCGGTCTCCCTCTTCAACCCACTCCTGCGACTCGTATGGCAGCTGTGTCGCGTGGCCAAAATCAGCCAGCTTCAGCCAGCCCTCGTGCTGCTCAGCGCCCGGCGTTGTCTCGAACGAATCGCCCAGCAAAAAGTTGGCCGGCTTCACGTCCAGGTGCACGATATCGATGGCGTGCACCTGGCCCAGGGCGTTGGCAGCGTGGGCCAGGATTGCCCATGCCCGCGCCTCGGACGGCCGGCGGTCGGTTTCGGCCTCGGCGTCCAGATAGTCAGCCAGGTTGCCGCGCTCACACAGCTCAAACTGCATGAACAGGTGGCCAGACTGCTCCCAGGCGTTGAACAGCTTGACGATGCCCTTTGCCGAATTGGGAATGCGCCACAGAAGCTCGACCTCACGCAGCTGGCGCGCGCGCGCCTGGCGACCACCGTACGGCTGCCTGGTCTTCTTCACAGCGTACATCTGGCCGTCGACTAGGCTGCGCACGCTGAGCACCGACGAAAAGTTGCCCTCGCCTGCCTTGGCGATGACCTCGAACTGGTGGGCAAAGTAGTTCAGATAGCCTATCCCGTCCACGTGGAATTCGCTTGTGGGCGCCAGGAACGGCAGCGACTTGTCCTTCTGCTCAAAGTACTCGCGTGGCAGGAATTGCGGGTAGTTTGTAGCAAAGCCATTCACAATCTGCGGCATCTGCGGCCGCTCCAGCGCCAGGATCTTTGGCGACTGCATCGACGACGACGACGATGACGAGGCAGTCAGCGCTGGCTTCGTGTGGACGTTGCTTGGGGAAAAGAATATCCCATCAGCGTCGTCCATGTCCATGTCGTCCAGGCAGTCGATACTCTTTCCGCCACGGCCCACTCTACTGCCCGCCGCATTGTCCTGGTGCTTTGTGCTCATACTGCTGATGTCGTCGAAAATAAATTCGTCGTCACTGTCACTTTCGGCTGCCCGCGGTGCCGCCGGCCAAGCCTGTGCATGGGGCGCCAGCGTTGCCGCCGAAGACACAGAGCTCGCGTCGCTCGTTGACGCCCATGAGCACCGCTTCCGTCGCTGATCCCAGGGCACCCTATCCGGGTCCACGAGGTTCCCGGCCGTCAGGCTCTGCATCATCTGTTGGTGCTGCGGCGCAAATGTCGGTGGTAGTGGCCGCAGCGACGACGAGCCGCCACTGGTGCTGTGCTCTAGCGACGGTATCCGGAACCCGGGTGGGGGTTCTTGTGTGAAGTCGTCCTCCACCAGCGTGTTGTGGCGAGTCCGGCGGCTAGGCGTCTCAATCAGTGCTGGGCTGCTCTCCTCGCCGCCGCCCGGCGCCAGGTGTGGCTTTTTGCGCAGCCGCCGCAGGCTCCCCGCCGATGAGTTCCGATGCTTTCCAAGCCGGAACATCTCCATGTCCATCGTCAGGTTCGATGTGTTCTGGCTGTGCATCAGGCTGTTTTCTGGCGTGAACAGGTCCTCAGGATCCACCACCGGCCCTTTCATCCCGCCTATCGTTCCCGGTCCCTTCTTCACCCCTATTGCCCCCGGCCGTTTGCACGGCGTTTCAGGGACTACAAACGACGTGCGCGTCCGCGGCAGCTGCTTCTTCGACATCAGCCCTGTTGACGTAAACGCCGACGGGTCAGGTTTCACCAGCTTCGTCGCTGGCGGCGTAAACAGCACCGCCGGCTGGGCTACTGGTGGTCGGGGCGCCAGGTCTGCCTGCGAAAACGTCAGCCGCCTGTGTGTTGCCCGCCCGGCTTGGTATGGCATTGGCGTAGGCGATGGCGACGGCGAAATCGACTGCGGACAAATTGGTGTCATTGGCCGCGAGCCCGTCGGCGTCAGGCATGCCAAAAGGCTGCGCTCCTGCAGCTCCTCTCGCTCCCGCCGCTGCTGTGCGTCCTCCGGCTGCCGGCCGCTGCGCCCCAGCAGCCGCGAGAACCGTGTGGGTGTCACCAGCGATGTGCTGCCTCTCTTTTTGTCCTTTTGTGCTGTGGGCGTCTTTTTCGTGTTCTGCACCTGTCCTCCCTCGACCAGCGCAGGGAATGACGCGTATGAGCGCAGCCCAGACATCGCCCGCTGTTTTGCGCGTGTGGCGGGCGGCACTGGCGGGCAGGGAGTTTGGTGGCTGCATTATTTGTGGCCCTGCGTGTGGACCTGGTCAGCGGCCGGTGCGGTGTATCAGACATGGCAATGTGGAATAAATAAATGTGGAATGAATATATAGTATGAAAATAGAGCAGGAATATGTGGGAATAAAAAGAGTGTAAAAATGTGAGTGATGGGAAATGGGGAGGGGGAAAGTGGGAATCGATGATAGGCGCATTTTGAGCGCGCGCGTGCCGGGCGCGTTTTTGAATTGGAGGAAGAATTTGCGAGCGATTTCCCTGGGCTGTGATTGGCGTTTATAATGCAGGAGCTGACACTAGCTTTTTTGAGGCGCAGGAAAAGTAAACAAATTAACCCAGGCGGGTATCAGACTCCAGTATCCAGGACACCCAGATTCCTCGGCCCAATAGCCCTTGCATTCATGGATCGCGCTACTTTGGCAAAAGAACCACCTCGTCAGCGCCCAGCTCCTGCATCGCGCCTGCCTTGGAAAGCGTCGCAATCACCTTGCGGATCTTGTCCTGGTCCACAGAGCCCTGCTCATTGAACCGCACATACTCGGCCCAGCGTTCCGCCTCCTCCTTGCCATACCCAAACTTGTGCTTCAAGAACTCGGCGCGCGCCACCCCGTCCTCCATGAACTGCCGCTGCGCATTGCCAAACATCCCCAGGAGCCCGGTGATCTTGTCGCCGTTGGCCTCGATGAACTGCGCAGTGGCCCCAAAGCTGAACGCAGGCCACGGCGGCCTGACCGTGCCCAGGTAGCGCACCTCGTTGGCGTCGTAGTGCCGCTGCATCGTCGTGCGCTCCCACAGGAACGCGTCTGCTGCGCCCTCCTGGATACCCTTGACCAGCCCATGCACATCACCCAGCACATTGAACTTGGGCTTGCCTGTCCACTCGTATGCGCTTGCAGCGTAGCGCGCCATCACCTCGCTGCCGCTGCCCGGGCGGCTGATGCCGAATGTCGCGCCAAACGCCAGGTCGTCCAGTGTCGCGTATTCCGCGTCAGTGGCCACAGAGGCTGCCCACGGCAGCGGCGAGTCCACATACGTGCCAAACAGCCGCAGGTCGGGGTTCTTGCCGATTCCCGCCACAAGCCCCTCGGTCACGCAAATGGCAATGTCAAGCTCGCCGGCAACCAGCTTCTTGATCATCTACATATACATGCACATCAGCCTACTGTACAGCCATCCTCATGCGTCTGGCAAATCGCTTCTGTTAACCTACATCACCAGTGCCGACTATACACAGAGTGTTAGTGCTATCCTGCACAGCCCTGGGAGCCGCAGACTGCTGTTCTTGGCTTCAACTTACGCTTGCAGATAACGAGCTCGATTTCATTATCGCCGAACAATCCGTTCTCGACGCCATACACCAGTGGCGCTGAAAAGTGCTCAGGCACTAGTCCGATTCTTGTCGCCATCGCTGATAGTACAAAGTAAAAATGAATAGCTTGGGTTCACGCAAGATAAGAGATGAGCTGCAGCAGCGGAACCAGGGCAAATGCGAGTTCCTGACCGTGCGTAGGATTGGGGGGGGAGAGGCTGGGCTGTTAATTTATCAATGTCTTCAATCTAATCTACAAGCTCAATGGTAGTACGACGCATCGGGTCCAGGCGCGGCCGGCGCATAGTGGCCATTGGTGCGGTAGTACATGTCCGACGTGTGCTGGTCGTAGTACCCGTTCTGTGGGTGCTGCTGCTGCTGCTGGGCGTATTGTGACCCGTACGCCTGGGACGCTGCCATATGGTGGCTTGATTGCACTGACGATGTTGCAGTCGGTACCTGCTGCTGCGGCTGCGAGTAGTGCCCACTGCCGCGGTAGTACATGTCAGTGTGCTGCTGTTGCTGCTGGTACTGCGCGTAGTGCTGCTGCTGGCGGGGTGACGTGGGGGGTGGCATTGCGATCCCCGTATCAAGCCCCGAGTAGCTGGTGCTGTGGTACCGGCTTTGCTGGTGCTGTGCAATGGGAGGCGGAACCGTAGCCGGCTGTTGCTGCGCATAGTGTCCGCTATTGCTGGTGTGGTAGTATCCATCTGCAGGCGGCTGCTGCTGTTGGACTGGGTAGTGTCCCATGGGTGTAGCCTGGTTGTAGCTAACACCGTTGGTCTGCTGGTGGTGCTGCTGGTGGTGGTGCTGCTGTTGGTAGTATCCATGGTTGTAATCGCCGTTTGCTGGCTGCGGCGGCACTTGGTAGTGGGAGTGAGCACTGGTGGAATAGCCATGCGACTGCTGCGCATACTGGCTGCTGCCGCTGGTCTGAGTAGTGTGCTGGTACGTGTCTGCCGAGTCCTCCCATGGGCGCCTGGTGCGCTGATCGCCAGCCCACTCTGAAGTGGTGTTTGTTGACACGGCCACAGTCGGGTGCGGCGGTACATGGCTAGCCACGGCAGTCGAGGACCAGCCCACACGCTGACGCTTGTTGGAACCATCAGCCACATCGTAGTCGCTGGCTGTAGTTGCCAGCTCCCGCTTTACTGGCGATCGAATGCGCGGCTGCTGGTAGGATGAGTAGTGCGTCGCTGATGTCGGCTGCTGCTGCTGTTGCTGCTGGTACTGAGAGTAGGCAGAGTATTGACTGGTCTCGGTGGTGGCAGTCGGGTATGCAAGACCCGGCAGCTTGGACGACCTGTAATCAGCGGGCGCCGAGTCCACCACGGGCTGGTAAGCGTATGTGGGAGGAGCGTTATCCACAGGCGGGCCACTGGATGTGCCGGCAGCATCACGGGAGTCATAGTAACCAGTGGCAGTGTATGCCGGCTGGTAGGCTGCTGGCGGAGGCTCAGAAGCAGCCGCGGTACCTGAATAGGTCGGTGCATAGGGCTCGACAGGGTCGTACCGGGTTTCGTATCCGCCAGCAATGTTTGCAACCGAGACAGCGGCTGTGGGTGCGGAGGAGTGCTGTTCTAGGGCATAGCCAGTAAAGGCAGTAGCGTCCGAAGCATTTGCAACGGCAGACCCGGTCGCAGGCTCGACTACTGCCTCGAGCGAATTATCGGCATCGTCCTGCTCAGCAGCGTCAGCAGCAGGAGCAGCAGCACCTGTCTCGGCTGGGTTGCCATGGTTGAGCAGCGAGGGAATACTCAGGATTGCTGCCAGATCCGAGTCTTCGTCAGCCCTGGACAGCCGCATCGAAATGGGCTCCAGCAGGCGGTAGGACTCGTCGGACGCAGCTCGGGGCAGCTCGGGCTCCCACGACCCTGATTGGTTGGAAATGGGGTCGGCCAGCCTGCAGACGGTCTCGTGCACCTTGTCCAGGCCGCGACGGCCTTCGCCGAGCACCCACAGCCGCCGCTGGCGCGCCTGCATCATGCTGTGGCGCAGCTCGGCCCGCTGCGCCAGGAAGGTGTTGCGGATGTTGCGCTGCGTGGCCTCGAGCAGAGTGCGCTCAAAGTCGCGGTGGCACTTGAGCTCGACATCAAGCTTGTTGCGGCGATCAGACCAGCGCGCCTCCAATTGGTCAGCAAGCTCCTTGTAGCGGGGCAGCGTGCCGTTCTGCAGCTGAGCGAGCTCGACGTCCAGCTGCTTCTGCTTGGCCTCAAAGAGTCTATCAAAAGCAGACGAAAGGGGCTGGCCCATTTTTAGTATTCCTGTTTTTTATCCTCTGTCCTCCGTGCAGGATGGCCCACATCAAATCGCCACTTGCCTCTTTTTAGAATCATTGAAGCGCTCGCGCATGGTAGCCAGCTTGTTGCGCCCGTAGCGGAGGATGCGCTTCTTTTGCTGAATCGCATCGCCATCATCAGCCACACTGGCGTCGTCGACATCTGACCAGTTTTCTACAGGGAGAGGAAAAAGAGGAGAGCAAGGCGAGGTTTAATAAACAATCAATAGCAACAACAAGAGAGGCGGCGGAAGAAGGCTGAAACGCGACCGAATACGTTACCGTTAGCTTCATCAACGCCGGTGTTGTTGTCTGTGTCATCGTCGCTGCGAAGCAGCTGGGCCGTGTTTAGGCGGAAATACTCTTCAAGGTTCTGGTCAATCTCCATCATCGAGGTTATTTTCCTCAAAAGTGGGCTTGTGCGTTAGTCGACTGTGAGGAGGTCCCGATGTCGGGTAATAAGTATCAACAATAAGCTGTGCGAAAATAAAGAGGCAAGAATAAAGAGGGGTGTTTCTGGAGGCAAGTGATGCAAGCAGTTATGCGGGTGGGTTATAGAGTCAGACGGCGCACGGCAGACGGCAGGGTGAGGAGTGGTGCCCTCCTGTAAACAAGCAGGCAAGGGTGGCCGGTAAAATGTAGAGAAAAATTGGGTGTATGCGCCGGGCTAGCTCAAAGTTGCAGAGGGGGAAGAAGAGGAGGGTTGCTTCGGGTGCGCTCGTTTGGGTCGTTCTGTTTCCCGGTCAAAAAAGAGAGAGAAAGCGTCAACTAAAAGGAACAAATTCAGCACCGCGAAAAATAATGTATCTCGACACAAGGAGTAGCCAAAAAGGTGATAGCGAGAGCAGAGGGCGTGCTGGGCGCGCAGAAAAATGGAAAAGGCAAAAGAATATAGGTGCGTTTAGAAGCAAAGAAGAAAGGGAGCGAGAGTTAAGGCCGGGCTGCCCAGCGCTCAAGGACCAGTTGCAAACACATTTTTAAGGGGTGGGGCGGCGAGAGCTATAACGCACAAAAAGAGTGATTCGCAAGACTGAACAAAACCAAGCGCTAAGGTCATCAAATACGCCCTTTTTCGCCGGCGCTCGCTCTTCTCCTGGAGCCGCTTGTGCTGGTGGCGGCGGCAGGCCCGCCGGTCCCTTGTCGTTGTAGCGCGCAAATTTTTTCCTGCGCTAGCTCCATTCTGAAGAGCAGCTGCAAGCGCTGTGAACGTGAGTTTTTGTGGAGGGGGTGGGTCGCGCCGGGTGATTTCGGCGGGTTACGGACGGATTCCGATAAATTTTAATCATGAGGGTTCCGCCTGCATCGCCATCACAGCTTGTCGGTGGGTCTCCTGCACATGCCTGGCACATCCGCCTGCCGCCACCGCCAGGCATATCGACACCTTGCGCATAGCGCCCGCATGTTGGGCCCGTATGTTGCTTGGCCGGCAGGCCTGTGCTTGGTTATTCAGACCTGTGGCGAGCTCTTTTATACTTGTCGCACCGAAATAAACGAAAAAAAAATAGTCGGCGCCAATCCTACAAGAAAGAAATCCGCGTCTAATAACGCACAATAAAATTTTTTATTTTTTCACCAGATGTATTTCGAACTCAGCTCTGGCAAAGACAGGCTCACGGCATGTATACCATGGTGTCGGCACTGGTTTCTTGGCGGTATCGGTCGAGGTCGTAGTGCTGCGCCGAGATCTGGCGGCCGCCGAACCACCGCTGGTCAAAGACCCCCACAGCCCGAGCGGCGGCTGCAGTATCCGCGTACTGGATGAATATCTTGACCTCATTGTCTCCTGCATGTGATTGGCTACCGCTGATTTCCCGTTCCGTCGCCAGATGCACAACCACCTTGAAGATCTTTCCACACTTCTCGCCCTCTCAGCCATATCGGCCGCCAGGTCATCGTCGACCTCCGATCGCCCGCCGACCACATTAGTCAACAGCACGATCGGTGACGATTCCTTTGTGATGCTTTTTGTGATACTCGCCGGCAACCTCAAACCACCTGCTGCGGCGGCTTCACAGCCGGCGATTGGCCCGCAGTCCCAGGGCTCTTGACATCGTCCAGCGCCGCCATGCCCTTGCCCAGCGGCCCGCCCAACCAAGCACTTGCACACGCGCAGGACCAGGTTGCCCAGCGAAAACTTGTTCATGGCCAGCGCAGCCTGCCCCGCAGCCGCCGCCCTCAGCAAACTCAATGAAGCCCCACCCGCGGTGCTTCCGTGTGGCGAAGTCTGGCGCCAGCACGCACTGCCTGATCTCGCCGAACGGCGCAAAGATCTCCTTCAGGCTGTCCTCGGCAATGGCTTCGTTGACATTGGCCACGTAGATGCGTGTATCGGGTGCCCTTGGAAACCCGTGCACTACTGCGACCTCGTAGTTGTGTGGCCGGCCGATCCGCAGCTGGCGCCCGCCCAGCATGGTGCCGTTCATCGTCTCTATCGCCAGCGCCGCTGCCTCAGGGATCTCGTACTCGACGAACCCGTACCCCTTGTGCTTGCCTGTCGCCGCATCCTTGGACATGCTGACGTTGCTGATCGACCCAAACTCTGAAAACACCCGGTGGATGTGCTCCTCGGTCAGCTCAAAGTTTATCGAGCCAACGTATATGCGCGACATCACTGACAGGTTGCGTGCGTCTATCTCGCCGCTCTGCAGCCCAGGGTTCAGCGTGCCCACTGGCAATTGCTCCTTTCAGCCTGTTTTTGCCTCTTCCACCGCGTCCTTGAACACCGTCGCCTGCAGCTCGCGCACATAGGCCAGCGCCCGTCAACGCTAGCCTGCTGGGCCCGTGTCAGTCCGCTTGGCAGCAGCGTATCTGGGCCCTCGGCATCTACATGGAGGAAGGTATAAGTACATACGGAATGCAAGGAATGCCGTCAACAGCGAAGTAGCCTTGGACGCGCCTCTGGCAGGGTTTCTTAAAGTAGATGGTTACGTTGTTGCTCCTACGCTAAAAGATAAAGAGAAAATATCGACGGGAAAGGGGGAGAGGCAGAGGGGAGAGAGGTGTGTAGTTATCTGCCGAAATGCAGTCTGCAAGCATACTGGAATGCACCCGAGTTCCTCTACTTACCTATGGCGCCCGCTTCGACGGCTGTGGATTCGTCGTGGTTCATTTGGGAAAGAAAGGAAATGCTGTAAACACTGGCTGGGAGAAGAAGGGAACAAAGAGGAAAGCAGGTCCAACATTTTTTGCAGGTCGACAGTGCAAGAAAAATCGCGCGCCATTGTAACCACAGCCAGCTTTGCTAATTTTTTTAGAGAGCCCGAGATTCTTCACGGCCGTCTGCGTAGCACACATTCCCTTGGCTTTCTCCTTTGCACGACGATGCCCTCGCTTTCACTTCTCTTATCCACGTATACTGAATTCACCACCCCAGCCTGTCTTTAACGAAATGCCACCCTCAGACAACGATGACAGCACGGCTCTCAGGAGGAGAAGGCCTGCAGCAGACAATACGCCCACCTCGGTCCCAGGCACGCCG